CAATTCAACAACTTCTACATGTATATAACTCGGTGCCATTGATCATACTCTTCATGTTGTATAGCCATTATTGAAATCCTTTTCCAAATTATTTCACATTCTTCTTTAATGCACATTGTCGTAGATCCTCTGATAAGAGATTTTGTTTTCCTTAAATTGGGGATATTCTGATGGGCTGTTGGCCTGACACTAGAAATGTGGAATTTCGAGTTCATTTTTCTCAGTTCTGTAATAAGCAGGCATGGAGACCTGGAGGTGTCTGGAGAAATCCGGTGATGGCTGCTGTGGAGGGAAAAGCACATCTTGCCTACATATTCTGTTCACTCTCCGCTTCTGACGACCTATGGGTCTGATGGTCATGAACTCACCTGAGGAGGGGAAGAGGCTGTTCTTGTCTTTACTTCTCCTCCCTCTACTCTCCCCTGCCCTGACTTTGCTCTAAGGAAGATATTTATGCAATTTCAGGAAACTCCCTTCATCACTACCGCCATTGGCATTTGGTGTCATGGTGTTGGTTGCAGCTCATGGTGACTCCATGTCCAACAGAATGACAATGGGGTCCTGGTTCTGCCCGAACCTCACACCATGGCTATGTTGGCGTCCATTAGTGTGGCCACTCTGTCAATCCACTTTGTTGAGGCAGTTCTTCTTTTTTACTGCCCTTCTGCATCACAAAGGATGATGTCCTTTTCTAGGGACTAGTCTCTCATGATGACATGTCCAAGGCACAGCAGATTATAAAGTCCCAATATCTGTGCTTTGAAGGAGCATTTTGGTTGTACTTTCTCCAAAACAAATTTGTTTGTTTTTCATGTGATCTATTAGTCCGGGTTGACTAGAGAAACAAATTCATAAATACTCATATGTGAATAAGAAAGAGTTTAAATACAAGAGTAATTGAATATTGAGAAAACATCCCAGCCCAGTCCAGATCATGTCCATAAGTCCTATATGAACCCACATGTCCAATACCAATCTATAAAACCCTCTTCAGACTCACAAAATACATGCGATGATGCCGAATGCAGGAAGATCACAGGCCAGTGGGTGGGAAGTCTTGTGGATCCAGTGGTGCTGCAAGCAACTCTGCTGGCAGGGGCCTCTATGTATTTCCTCCAGCGCAGGGCACTAGCATAGTTCCATATTCTTGTCAGCTGCAATGTCTCCCAGAGAGTGAGCAGAGAGAGTGTCTCCCACCTCCAAGGAGGAATATCAGAGTTCCCAGAATCCTCAGGAGAAGGTTATGCCCACACAGGGGCCTCGTTGGTTATGACCTGATTGACAGGCTAGACTCCACCCCTTCACTCTTAATCCTCTCAAAGTGACAAACAATTATGTA